AATTCAAAAGTAGAGCTGTTCTATAGGACTTTGTTTTTCTAAGTAATTCAACAAATAATTACTCCTTTCCATGGCTATTATGCTCTTTTACTACGGTGTCAAGTAACACATTATTGAGCTCTTGCATAATTTTAAAAACTTCTTATGAAGCTGGTGCTCAGACAGTTAAGTTTTAAGATCGCTACAAATAGGACATAAGGCTAGTATTTACATTGCTTACGTTTCAAGAATAGTCACTAAAATATCGTTAACCACATTTCAGATGTGACCTTACAAACACCTTACAGATGTGACTGACCTCTGCAATTTAACTTTGTGTTTCTTGTTACTGAATTTGTCTACACCCCAGCAGAAGAGGCTGATTCAAGACTTGAGGCATTTGAAAGATCTGCAGTGTGATTTTATCTCTGTTCTTTTTCTGTTTTGTGCCTTTTCCAACAACTGACAAATACTGCAGAGGGGAATATAGGTCTGCATGGACATGATTAACGATATATCAATTGCATGACAGTTTCCTGGCTTCCCAGCACCATGGCAGATCCAAAGGACAGTCACAGATGTAAGGCTTAGCAGATGTATATGCACTTGCAGTCTTGGAATACCTACAAGTTCTCCTGAAGGCAATGGGACCTTTTATGTACCTCTTAAAACATATCTAGGACTACAAACTCAATCACTTTGGGAAAACAGGTTTGTGTATGAAACCTAAAGTTTTGAAGTATACAAGAAGTCTCTTCTGTCTTTAAAGTCTATGAAACACTCCAATACTCAAAGTACTGTATACATTCAAATGGATGGTGAGGGAAGGACTCAAAGACAACAGAAAAGCTGAACGTTGTAGCTGAAGAGAAGCATGAGTCATATCAGACAGACAACTCCACTAAAAGTGAAATAATGGCCTTTGTGTGGATATTAATTGCAATCAGTTCACATCTGAAACCAGAGAAGCACTGGCATGGAGTAAGGCCAGGCTCAGTAATAAAACACTGAGAGTACGAATGAGAGGGAGACATTAGTAATAATATAACAGATCTTTGGGCAAACAGTTCCAGTACAAGATGTCCTTGAAGACGGCATTATTATCAGAACCAGACGATCTGTAAGGTCCCTTCCAACCCAACCCATTCTATGTTCTATGATCTAGATCAGCTGAAAGCAGTAATGAAGCTTCTTCCTGCCTTTATCTGTGCTCATTTCAGAAGAAACATGCTCAAAGAACAGAGGCACGTGGGCTTTGAGGGAGTAAATCTAGTTTGGTCAAATACAGAGGGGAATGGTGAAATAACAGAAAAGCTGAAGCTGAGTCAGAACATTATAAGCCAAAACAGAAAAATATATTTCAAAGACAAGGAGAAGGCATAGAATAACTTGGCAAGAGCCAAAATAAACCCTGATTTATACTACAGATAATGTTATTTGGCATACATCAATAAAGTGATGAAGAAGCTTCCAAGGCTGGAACCTAATTCTACAATGATATTTCAATCTGCTTTATTTTGAGCTCAAGGTATGAACATCAGAAGGAGGGCATAGCACAAAGGAGCCTGGCTTTCTGTATGAATTGAACCTAATAAAGACTTCTTGATTTTTATGAGCCTTCTTATGCTTACATCTTTCCTCTTTCAAACTTCATTTTAATTATTTGTCACTCTCAATAAACTGCTCCATACAATATCTGCTGTATGCAATGCACTATGCTTTACACATTTCTTCCAGGATGAAAAAAGCTAATTTATCTAGATTTTTCTCTTTTTTTTTTTCTTTTACTTTCCATTTCTATGGCTCATTCCAATATTTCTGAAAATATAATAAGATATATACAGAATAATTAAAAAAACATAGCAATTAACCTGTCTCAGGGAAAGCATCATAAAGTAAGTGCTGCTTCAGGGAAATTTCTCAAGTAGAGTCAAAAGAGTACGCAGAGAACAACATAATATTTAAGGCAACACGCCAGTCAAATTATATCCAATCAAGTCTGGCACAGTTGATTTAAAGTACCTTGGTCTTTCTATCCAGAGTTATCCATTTGAGGAGACATAAATATAGAGGATGTAAGATGTCATAAAAGCAACATTGCAGTTCGTGATTATATAAATGAAATAGATATAAAATAGATATACACACTCATAGGAATTGAAAATAAGTCTGATGTAATTAGGCTTACTTATATCATTTATGGAAGGTTTTTTTTAATACACAATTTACTGAAGAAACTGCATCACCACATGTAAAATGTAGTTGTACTTGATGCAATACAATCCAATATACTTAATTCTCTGAGGCGTGTTGGGAAAACATTAAAAATAGCTATACTGGTCAAAACCAAGCATTCCAGTATCAATACGCTCTCTTTAGCCATGACCAAAAACATATGCCTAGGACAGACCAAATATGAAGTAAGAAACTGCCTTTAATTTTCTGGATCTCTCAGTTGATGTTCTCATGCATTGTGCAACATCCTGTAAGCTGTGTTCAGCAGTAGTTTACAGTCTGTTACATTGTATGTGAAGTTACAGTTTCTGTTTTTCCTCATCTTTATCAATTTACATTTACTTTCTTCATCTGCCATTTTAATGACTGTTCACTCATCTCAAAGCATCTTTTCTGCAGTACTTTATGGAGGTTTCAACCTCTATTCCTACTCTTTTTTTCCAAACTTTAATCCTCCAGCTTTGGTGAGGGAGATTTTGAGAGCATTTGGAAAGCCTATTTACATCAAATGGATCTTTTTTATCACACACTCATTTCTCCAAAAAACATACTCCTCTATATTCTAGTTAATCTATTTTATTTTTCTTGTGGTTTCTAATAATTTTTATTGTATGAACATCAGATTCATTGGTTTATAATTTTTGGCTTTCCCATGATACGATTGTCACATTTTCTGTCTTTCAGTCCTGAAGAATCAAGGTGGTTTCAGCTAAAGGTTATAAAACAACAACAGTAATTCAGTATCTGCTCTCCAGAATAACTTTACAGTGGCCAAGGGTGGTCCTGGCAATTCTTTCTCTTGTAAAGACAAGATTGTTCACCACATTTATTCATGTTTATGTTGGCATGTTCCTAACTATTCTTAGGTAGTTCTTGTATACATGCTCTGCCTCCATAGAGAGTGGATATAAGAAAAGCCACAGTTCCTTCTTCTTGGACTGCAATTGCTGCCTTTAGCAAGTGGAATGGTAACCAAGTCCTGCTTAAAATGCATGAGAACACTCTCATTCAAACCAGGGGAAGACTGGTCTCTGTTGGATTGAGTGGAAGTTTTGCTGCAAATTTGAATGGATATAAGGTGCCAAAAGCCAGAAGTTGCTTTTCCAACCCAATAGCCAGTGAACAAAAGCAAATGGAAAAATCACTTAAGCAGACCAAGGAGCAGCAAAATGTTCTTTCCATTTCTCTTTCTGCTCATCGAGAAATAAAAAAAAAAACAGCTTGCATTCATAAGAAAAAATATCGAGGAAAGCATAGTACTTTTCCATTCAGGAACATAGATTCTTTTCTCAAGAAACTACTGACAAGAAGATGAATGCTCATTTCATTCATCAGAGTGCCTCACTGGAACAGTAGCAGAAAGAATTCATGACAGAACTGATCCAGCAGAATTTCTCACTGTAACTTCTTTAATCAGGAAAACACTTTACACCTGAAAAGCAGAATGCTTTCCAAGGACTCAGATGGAAAAGACTCAGAACCCCACGTCCTACAGCTACACTGGCTCCATGAAATATTACAAATGGCCCTCAATAACATAAAAATATTACTGTACAGGAACAAAGAGCACAAGTTACCTAGCTGCCATGTCATACAACTAGGCTTAATAAGAAATAACTGGAATGTTTGTTGATAAGATTAAAAAAAAATCATCAACAAACAAATCAAGGGGAGTAAAGTAGGAATTACAGGGACAGCTGAACAGTCATGATCAGAACATGCACAGATGGCACGCAATGCCTGGGATGGTTTGAGTATGTTACATTTTAGTAAGAATACGAATGTGGTTTATGGATGTGAAGACAGTGTAGGTATAGCATGACAGTCAGGAAAAGGGAGGCAGCTGCTCTGCTTCAGTTAAGGATGGAGTTTGCTGAAGTCATTAGTGGGCTTGCCTGTAACACCAGTGACCATACAGCCCATGGCCTTTGCTATTGGGTAGGTTTCTCAGCTGTGCTCTAGGTCAGGAGATTTAACTAGTCTGGACTGTGAGCTCTCCTTTTCCAAGTATTGAAGAATCCCACCTATTCTCACACTATTTATTACCATGTATCTTTAAGTATCTATTCACATGTATCAGATAGTTACAGCTATTTAGGTGCTGTCAGACAGCAGTAAGTATGATTTCAAAAAAGCGATGAGGGAAGTTTAGTGACCAATATCCCAACATTCGCCCTCTAAGATGGAGTGCTAACGTTTGTAGCCTGTTATTTTCTAAGGTATTCTTTCTAGGACAGAGATAGCAGGACTACAGAGACGTTTATCTATTACACTTATCTATTAATATGAACATTGAGCTGCCAAGCAAATACGTACTAGCAACAAGAGAATGTTCAGCAATTATTTTCCTTTAATCTGTGAATTTTGATCTATTTGACACTCCCCATTCTGTGGCCAGCAGGATCCAATCATTTTTATCAGCACTTCAAGCACTACAATACGCCACCAAGACTGAAGAAAAATGAGGATGTAAAAGTAATCTGTGCAACAGATAGAGGTGTTTACATATAGATAGCATGTTCAGTTTGATAAATAATTCTTCCTGTAGTTGGATATTTTTCTAAATATCTGCTATCAAGAAGACACTCTGAAAGTGCCAAGTTCAATTTCCTTTTTCTAGATACAACAAAATGGACTGAATTTATACGTGCCATATGTATGCCACTGGTTTATTGATATTAAACTCTGAAAATCACGAAGAAGCCTGGCAAATGAGAGGCTATTTCATTTTAATACAGAAGTGACAGTTCTGTGACCTTTTTATGTCATTTGTCATATGAACTTACCAAGCAGCTTGAGAGAAATGACATCTTGGATGAGAGTCCAGCCTGATGAATGAGGTGACAGTCTGTTTTTGTTTTCTGTTTTTCCCCATTCATTTGTCTTAAGAAAAAAAGGACACCTGGAAGTAAATAAATAAATAAATACATTGCAAATAGAAGACAAAACTGAATAAAACTTTCTGATAGAACTATACTAGGTAATCTGCCCCAAAGGTAAGTTGGTCTCTTGTTTTATTTTGCATTTCTGTGACGATCTTAATTTAAATAGGCAGTGGTACAGTCTGTTTATGAAATGAAGAAATGAGCTAAGTAAGTAAATATGTAGACGCAGCAGTAACACGGCAACAAGGCAGACTCCTAAATTCACCACTGTGTTTTGTAGTTTTTTCTAATCCACTGCTACAGATTAGGAAAACAACAACAAAAGAAAAACCCCCACAACTCACAGAATTTTTACAAAAGGGTTTTAGAATCACTTTCAAAGCATAGCACTGGTGCATGATATTCAGGCATGCAAACAGCATGGGCACAATACAACAGCTACACTACACTTATTGGATTTCCTCTAAACTGGGATCTGGTTCAGCTGAAGCTCAGGAGTGAGTTCACTCTAGATCAGCATCTGTCCCCAAGCTCCCCTACTGGTGTGACAGTGCAAGAACAGCAAACAGACATGCCAGGTCAGCAGAGCTGGCCCAGCTTCATCCTTGTGTAGCCACAGGCAGTCCAACTTTACATAGTGAACAGTAAGCAATCGGTATGAATGCTCCCATCCTTCCAGGATGAAGGTATTTTAAAAATTCAAGAACTTATCAATCAGGCTCCACAGACTCCCCCAGATATTGGCCTCTACAATTCACAAGACTAGGCAAAGTTCATCTGAAACCATTTTACAAGTTAGAGCCATACTTCCCTACCAGAAAATTTTCAACATGGTATATGTATGAGAATATATATATTTACGTATAAAGACATATGTATATTATATATACATGAACACATATGAATTTGGAAGTAAGCACACATGCGCAAACACATGAAAAATCTACAAAAGAAAACCAAGATTCTGGATTGTTTTCCTGCGATCAGATGATCTGAGTTCATTCTGATTTATAACAAAATACTCTGCCAAAATCACCAGTGCAGTAATTAATTAACTTCAGCCAGCTATATTTGCTGGCACTTTGACCTTTTATATTATTAATGAACTAGTTTATTTTGTTTTCAAGATGAAATACCTATCATTCCAGTTTGCAATAGGATCCACAAAGAATATCCCTTTCCATACCAGGAACATTTTTGCAAAATCAAAGCCTTTTCCTTCTTCCCATTTTTCATACTTAAAAAAAATTAAATTGCACACGTGCCACATTTACTGTCTTTCAAAAGAGAGACTTATGGCCTTCTGGCTCCAGCACTCTGTGGGTAGGAGAGAGAGCAACAGAAGGGGCAGCAATAGAGGTTGTATTTCCCCAGCATACAAGTTTCCTCCCTGCCCTTCCAGCCATTTCCATGCTCTTGGTGCCACAAGGTACCATAATCCAGTAGAATATAACCCAGTAAAAAAATTACCTTTTTTTTTTTTTTTTTTTCTTTTTAATAACTAAAAGGGTTTTAGCAGCCTTGCCAGACTAAACCTTATTTTCTAAGGCTCAGGACCTTTGATGAAGTCTGCTCTGGGCAGAAATTTTACAAGATTCTCTAAGAACCAGTAAGTAAAATGGTTTGCAAACTCGATGTTACATAGGAGTATAAAAATAATTAGTGCTAGGTGCCATTTATTTACAATGCTTGAAAATGTCTGAGAAAAAGGTGGCAAAAATTATAATTACTAATTAACTTCAAGCTCTGTTCCAGATACATTCATTTTAGCTTTGCATGAAGAAAAACAGAAGCACTCTTTAATGCATGTAAAATATATGATCAGTATTATAGATGCAGACTTTTAGATCATGCAGAGGGTGTGTTATCCCACTACTTCTCCCTTCATTGGCAAATATGCATTTGGGACAAGTTGCTTCTCCAGAGACAATCTGCATGGCTGGGAGTGGGCCAGATCTACTGAAAAAAGAACACAACTGAAGAGCTTTGTTTTGGTCAATAGACTTTTGCTTTCCATTTTTCAGAAACACAGAATCTGTCCTGATATCCCCTGCCAAAAAAGCATTAGTAGTTGGCTTTGCTCTCCTTTTCAATCAGTCATTTGGGATTTGCCTTTTTGGAGGGAGTGGGCAGCAACAACTGCCTCTTCTGAAGCAGTGAGAACTTTCATTATCACAAACATAATGGTTCTGTTGTCATTTTGAATGATAGCAGGTCAGTTTGGAAAAGAAAAGCAACTTTGGGAGAAATGCTGACAAAGAATCCAAATCCAAGTCAATACACCGTCTTAACAAAGAAAAATTACTTTTTGAGGGTAATACCCATTTCATTGAAATTGAATTTATTGATGAAAAGGTGGGAGAAATGATTCTCCTAAAAGAAAACCTTTTTTTCTTCTAGTTTTCTTTTTCTTTCGTTCTTCTTTTTTTTTTTTCTCCACTTTGGCAATGCTTTTGATCTTTTACTATGACATATGACAGAAAGTGCTTGATAGAATGTAAAATGGTATCAATATGTATGAGGAGTTTCTTTCCATACTCCAGCAGGAAAAAAAAGTAATGCTTTGAGAACTCCCATAGCTGATGAGAGAGATTTACATCTTCTCAGATGCAGTAACATGGCACCAGTTAGGCTGTGAATAGCAGCAGTTTTTGAGCAGCAGTTGAGCATGACTATTTCAAAAGACTTTAAGCAAAAGTCTTTGCAAAAGATTGGCTGGCAGTCAGCACTTCTCTTACATCTGAATAAAGATAATCTACATAGTGATTTCTTAGCATTTCTTCCTTTGCTTCCTCTCCTGTCTAGCAATTCTAGACTCTGTTACATTTGTGAATGTGATGACAGGGACTTGATTTTCTTCCTTTCCATATTTAAAGATGACCTTGATGTTAAAGCATGTTTCAAAGGTCCCTCAGCTTCGTTTAATATCCAGACCTTTAAGTGTGGTCTTTAATAGCTGTAAAATGTTCTCATAAATTCCAAGCTATGTATTTTCTATATTGTTTCTTTATGGTTCATTTAGTGTGACATTATATCAAAAATTTTAAAAAGGCATTTCCTTCTCAATCAGTTCTGAATGAAGTGTCTGAAAAAAGCACTCCTACAACTTTCTACTTGAGCCATTAATTAATGCACTGCTTGTTAACTGCTGCTGTAGCTTTTGATTCACAGACACCAGAACAATCCTATAGTGATGGATGTTCTGGAAAGGCTTAGACAGTGAGGCTGGAATGTATGCACACATCACAGTAAAATGAGAAACGACATTCACTTCCAAATGATCTTTATGTGATAATACTTTAAAGAAGTGGTAACATTGTGCTGGATACTGCAAGAGTATAAGTAAATATAAGCAATGTACCATGTGTTTTATCAACATTTGCCAGTGTAATTTTAGAATATAAAATCAAAACATAGTATGGTGCTTTATGATGCAAGGAGCATTTTTGTAGATAGCATAAATAACAAATCAAGAATGTCTGTAGCTATGAATAAAGATGTCCTGAACATTAGAAAGAGCCTGCTGTGAGGGAAAATCAAAAACCTGTGTGGAAGTAGAAGGAGCTAGCGGTAATCAGGCCTGTTGAATTTAATGGATCTGGTTTTATTTTCACTATTTTCCTACGAAGTAAGAAAGATTTAAATATCCACCAACAATTTTCTACACAAGCAGAGTATAACAAGCTGTGCTGTAGAAAGCTTTTTGTTTAATGAGCATTTCCAACCACAAAAAAGAAAAAAGAAACCAGAGAGAGAAGTATGTCGGGCTACCAAATGGTCTCCATCCTTTTTCTTGTCCTGGAGGAATTTCAGAACCACAGAACACTTGCTTTGGTTTTCCAAACTTCCTGCAGCACTGCTACAGGCAACACACTGTGTCTGTAGAACTTCTAGTTACTCCAAGGGTGTGTCGAAGTGTGTTATGGTGCACCATACCGTAAACACAGCAATTTAGTCTATCTGACCCCATGTAAAATCAGTAGAGAAGCTGAAGGGCCAGGTACCCCTTGCGTCCCACAACAGCACAACAGACATAAATTGAGCTGCAAAACTTACCCATGAAAGTGGCTGACAGGGTCTGTGATGAGCTCTGGGCTGTCACCATTGGCATCAATCTGCATTGAAGGTGCTGTGGCAGTACCAGCGAACTCTGCAACTGTCATCCTGGGTACAGGTTTGAGTCTGCTGAGAGATTAACAACAAACTGTTCAGCTTGATACAAATTAAAGGAATAGAATTGTACCTCAGAGAGGAAGGGCAGTCAGAGAACAATGGAGAAGCCTCAGCTGGTTAATGCCTTTGGTTTTGTTGGTGACCAGAAGCTATAAAACAGCAGAAAAGAGTCATGCTTACTAAACATCTGTTATTTGGCCATCTTCAGTGCTAGTGTTGGAGTGAAAAACCCTCCTGAAAAGCTTTCTGGCACCATGACTTTGAGCAGAGGGATGAGGCTGAGTGGATTTGTGAAACGGATCTGGCAGGAGCCCTGGTGCTGCACCTGTGAAAAGGAATGGCTACACCAGGCATGTCCAACCTGCAGCTCAGCCCAGCCCATGCTGCCGCCATCCCCTGCCCCATGCCATCATAGCAGTGGCTGTGCTTCATGAAGCAGCCTGGTGACTATGTTGAAAAGCAGTGTTTTGTAGCTGAGAATTTGTTCTATCAGTGTTACTGTGCTCACTGTATCTGTTGGATTTTCTGTAGAAATAAATAGGAAGCATTACTTTCAGAGAGACCCAGCCCAAGACTATTCCTTTTTATTCAGTGTGGCTGGCCAGGCAAGCCGTAGAGTTGGATACTCATGTATACTACGCAGTGCCATGCCTGCCCATTGGGGTCCAGAGAACAGCAAGGAACACAAGTGTTATTAGTAATTAGTAAAAGCATAACCAGATGCCTCAGAGAAGTATCAGGTACACTGATGAACCACAAAGACACGTAGACCATCGTCTAAGGGAGCTAAAGAAAAAGCAATTTCATTGTGTAGCAGGGTTTCAGAGTATCTGGGGACAGACATTTCTTTGCTTTCCTCCTCTCATCGATTTGTACGACATGTGTTCTTGTATCTGCCATAATTATACATTAGGGAAAGGAAACACCCATAGACAGTAACAGCACTAAGACTCAGTTACAGGAGAATCATACTGGATTTTCATTTGGCTGCTAAAATAAAACCAACGGAAGTCTAAAAGGGCAGTGTTGAAAGAAATAACAGATATATGTGAATGCTGGATGAACCTGGTGAATAACCCTACCCAGAAAAAATCAGAAGATGTTGTCAATGCCACACCTACTTTCTACAAAACTTTATGTTTTTAAGAAAGCTCAGGTACCTGGGTTTTGGTGGTCCACATTAAATGCAACTTGTTGTGTTGTTTTGTATCATCTCAGGGTAGAAAAGTATTACAGAATGCCTGTATTTACTGTATTCTGCTTGTGTCAGTCAGTAAGTGATAGCATGCCCTATCTAATTAAATCTGGATTTCATGTGCATCTCTTCATTTACCTACTGTGCAAATAATGGGAGCTAACACTGTAGTATTAAAATCAGATAAAATCACATTTTTATTAAGACAGCGTATGGAAATATATAAGTATAATGTGAAACATATTCTCTTATACGTACTGCATAGAGCTCTGAAATTGATCAAGATGTCCCTGGGAATGTATCAGCAATGGAGAAAGAGAGCAAACTCCTCATCCTCCAGGGATCAGGCAGCTTCTTGCTGTTCTTTCCTACTGCCTCCTTGATTGAAAATGAGCTTGTTTGGTTTGTTTTCCTCTTATCATTTCAGTTAGGGTAGCATCAGAAAGCATTATCATAATTTAGCCAACTTCTCTCCACTTAGTAATTCTAAGACATGCAGTTAAACTGCACACATATTCCCATTTCCATTTCAGCCTGGATTTTGGCCTTCTGTATTAAGTTAGCATTAATCGAAGGCTTATGTATAACTTTCAGGAAAGTACATGTTATTTTTGCCAAGTAAAATATAAGAAGTGAGGGAAAAGAAAAAAAAGAAAAACTGTGAACATAGAAAGTTACATATGGAGATATGTAAGAGTCCACAGAGCCACTTTGCTAAAGCAGTCCATATGTGCTTCAGTAACAGTGCAAGGAAGGGAATACAGCTTGTAGACACTTTTAGGAGAGAGAACCACAGCTTATGCAGATGTAAAATAGAGATATGTAAGATGGAAAGGTCATGCAGAAAAAAATGGTTTAAACAATTACAGTGATTTATGTATATTAATAAACAGAAGAGAACAATATTAACTAAATCCAATCTAATATTATGCTTGTGTGTATTCTTCGTATCTATTGATTGACCTAGGCTGATGCATAAGACTCCCACATGAATTAACAGTTAACATTTCAGAAAAATTGTGAATATAAAGTTGCTTTTAGAATGGCATGTATTAACAGATTTAGCTGTATTTTTCTGAAACAACCTTAATTATGATAGTGGGATTGGACTCAAAGTATGTCTGTCATGAAACCAGGTAAGCATGGTATAAGCACATCTTGAGGTAAGTTACTGAGCACATAATACATCACAGTTATTCCGTTGATAGCAATACAGTAAAACATCAGTTTCTGATAAGATGGTCCTTCCAGCCACTGTATCTGTAATTCCAGCACTGTGGTCTGTAAGTAACCAATGGAAAATGCCTCCTATACACGTTGTATCTTTGTGCTTTATGCATCTCATGGACACCATTCAATTTAGAAAGACAAACTTGGAACCTATTCTGTGCCTACTAAAGTCTGAATAATCTTTTCCTCTGAGCCAGCAAGCATTTGTCCCAATCCTTGTTACCAATTATCTCTGCATTTAAATGTGCTTTATTATTATTAATAATCCTCTTTCAGCTCAATTTATGTGCAGACAAAATACACGTAAAACTCAAATTGGCATGTTATACATGTTGAAAATGTATGTAATATTTTGCACAGCAATAGGTTGTCAAGTTCTCTCTCTGTAAGGGATCTTGCTTGAAACATCCCCCACCTTGTAGACAGTTTCTCAAGACAATTATTGCTTTATTTTCCCACTTTCAGACAAAGAAATGTCAGGGAAGCCAAGGCTGTGTCTTTTCGATAAAGGCACAAAGAGCAAGTATCTGGGCTGTGGGTTTGAAAGCTGTCCTCTGCAGCAGGAGAGCACTTTGATGTGCAGCAAAGCAGAAAAATTGTGCATGCTGCTTTCATACGGCGAGTGTTTGGACACATTGAATGAGCAGCTCAAGGTATTGCAGAAGGCTGCTGTACCTTGAATTTGCTTCCAGTTTGAAAAGTCAGCATGTTCAGAGATGGGAAAATTCAACTCTTTTTACTGTTTCGCTTATCATGTCATTCACACTGATGGAAGTCTGAGGTCTCTGAGATTAATCTCTGAGGAGATTGTGTGGGGCATAAATGCAGAATTAGGTCCTGTATATGTACATGCGGGATCTTCTTGTTTCCAGACTGCCATATCAATGGCGGCTATTTGTGAGCAAGGATTTGTTTTATAAATCAAAGGTTTTACTTGTTACAGAGTCATTCAAATATGGTCAGGCTGTGTTAAATTTGTAAATAACCATTAAAATTGTATTTTCTTGTTCTTCACGGAAATATGGCTAATAATAAAACCTGCAAAAACTCTGTGTTGGTAAACTTGAGGTAGACATTCAATGCTTTTCTAATGAAGAGGAGGATCGGAACCTTAGATTTTGATGTTCAAACTCACACAACAGCAACATGGATAGTGGCAGGGGTCTCCTCTTATGTTGATGTCTGCTGCTCTGGGACCAAAGGTAAAAATTAAGTGATGCAGGACTCTGGAAACTGAAATTATAATAAAAAAAAAGAACTCAAAAAATGAGAACATGAACATTGCTTATATGCCTGGAACAATAATTGCTACAGATTGTTCAGATTTTTTAGCTTTTTTTATGAAACAGGCAGATGCATGTGTTCAAAGAACAAAATTATCTGAGAAAAATGAGACCTTAACTCTTTTCAGTCAGTGTTATGTTTTCCCTTGGAGAAGCATAATTATCTGCCAAGTGTGGGAAGATTCCTTTGTTTAAATCCTGACTGGCAGCAAAAAAATCTGCTCTATGCTAAAATTATCTAATTTTGTAGCTGTCTCAACAATATGCCTGCTTTTATCAAATGATGCCCTTTCTTCCTTACTGGTAGAATACTCATTGTGCTCCATAAACAGTCTGTTTGCATTATGTAGATTATTTCACAAGAAAAGTGAGAAGTACGCTTTTGACAGGGATAGAAACAATGAAGCATGCAGAAATCAAGGAAGATCAAACATGCTCATTAATTCAGATGGTAAGAAATAGAGGCATTAACATCACAGTATCTTTCTTGTTAGTTTCATATTGTATGAAGTCCCATAGTTGTCACACGGAAAAAGTCTCATTTACTTTTCAATAATCAAATATTTAATAGAAATTCTTATGGTTTACATCATATGCTGTAGAGAAAAGTCCTCATTTAGTGTATTACTTTGATGTATTCTTTTATTACTTGAAAGGCCAATTCAATTTGAAGAATTTTATGAATATTTTATAGACTCAGAACTCTGACTGATGAGAAATAATGCTCTCTGATGTGATGGAGGCTTTGGGCCTCCATCTCTGTTGTGTTTGAACTAAGCCCAGCACAAGAACAGACTGTGGAGGCAAAAAATCCAATTGAGTCATTTTCTATATTTCTTTATTTCCTATTGTAAGTCAGGGCAACCCTAAAATAGCTACAGATGCTTCCCAAGGGCTTTGTAATAACTGAGCATATAAGTAATGCAAAGTGATGTATTTTTCACATCTCTTGTCTGGCCAGACATGCTTTTATTTAGAGTGAAGCCAACTCAGGCAGCTCCATGTTACAATCTTTAATTTAGTTCAACCTTTGACTTAGTCCAATCTAAAACTAGGTTTGATCTTCTTTATTTTCTTGCATTAAATTATAAATGTCTTAAAAACTCCTACTCTGTGATTTAGCAGTTTTAATATTACTCCTCTCCTGGTACACTTGGGTTTGAAGGATAATTATGATATAACCGGTTTAATTTAATTTCTACTATTTCTTTATGTCTACTTATGATTATAATACAGGTGTGTATAGGTGCTGAATTATTTTGATTGTCAATATTTAGTGTCTTTTCTTCACACTGGCCTTTTCCCTGTGTATCCTGCCAAAGAAAAAGGAACACTCTATGTAGGATATTGTGAAGAAATATTATGAGTGAAGTAGTACATGTATCAGGGTAGGACTGATGAAAAGCTTGTTAAAAAAGCGATCCATATATGCTCATTTTATATTCTCAGCATCCAAAGCAAATAAAAATGGATACTGAAATCCAGTTGGAATATCACTAAGACCCACGGTACACCTATAGATTGCATGTACAGTAATACAGTAGATACAGTCTGTTCCATTCTATTTTCTATTAGAAACAAAAAACTCAGCATTCCTATTTGTTCATTCAATGTCTGTGTTGTCCACATTGCTCAGAAGACTCAGTATGAAGCACTTCAGGTGCTGGCCTCAACTGTATTGTAACACAGTTGAAAAATTAATCTTTCATCCTGTTACAGAGCCAACAGATCCATCTAATTTATATGCACTAAACAAGAAGTAAACCAGTATAAAATGGTATAGAGAGTATAGAACATATATGTATGTCCTAGCAATGTTTTGCACTTGTGCTACAAAATTATTGATGCTATTGGGTTTGCCCAGCAATGAAATCCCTTCTATGAGCATGACTGATCATCACAAGCAGAGAAACTGGTGCCTGTGTTTTAAGTCATCCTGTTTTCCTCTTGATGAACAGGCTGGAGGCCATGCTAATCTGCAGCTGAGGTAAGCATCCAAACCAAATAGATGTGAGAGTTGTTGCAGTTCTTCTCCCTAACAGTTGCCAATGCAATTAGCCATTAAAAGCAGTAAAATATGGTAAAATCAGTGAAAAATGGGTAAATCTGTACAATAAGTTGGGTGTACTGTGAGAGAAAGGGAAGAAGGAGGGGAAACAAGATTTTAATCATTTGTGTCTGTCCTCAATGTAGAGACATACTTTGTGCCATTCAATAGCATGAAGATGATGTGTTTTAATAACAATCTTTAAGATAGTGGTAAGAAATATAAACTAAATATTGATTGTCTGAGCCCTACGATTTGATAAGGAAATTAGTTTCTGATTTATTTGGTAGGAGCCCTTAGTTTGCTCCAGAAAAGAGGATATAAAGACACAATATTGCGCTATTAGATAGATTTGGTGTTCAAGTTAGGTACTAAACTTTCTTTAATAAATATGAATACTTGAAAAAACCTATACTCTGTTAAAAACACAATTTCAAACTCATTCTTAGCCTTTTAGCTTATCAGAGACTGACACAGAAAGGAGCCTCTTGAGCACATAAAGCATAAGGAATTTAACTCCTGTTTACATTTTCCTGAAAAAAATTATTAAAACCATCCTTGAGTAATCATTTTTAATGAAAGAAAGTATCTCTGTGAGTTAGATACTCATCATATGCCTGATGTTGTGAAATAAGTGTATCTCAAGACTATCATGCCTGATTACTGAACATTTTCAAGACATCATTATTAAGGCAAGAAACTTTTTTTGTGTGTGCTGGTTAACCGTCACACTGCTGATTTGTGAATGTATGCAACTCTTTGCCATTTTTCTCATACCTTCTTCTGATATCCCTTTTTATGTCTCACTACATAAGACAGAACCATATTTTCAAGAGCGTTTGCCTCCCATCCCTGCAATCCCATTACTTAATGTTAAAAATAGTGAAGGACCTGCATGGTGGGGGCGGGCAACAGAGCAAGAGGAAAGGGAAATCTGATACACAGCAAAGATTCTTTCAGCTCAGCTGAAGGGCAGAGATGTTTTTATGATTCTGTAATCCACTCACAGGTAAGATCAGACATAGACACACAGACCAAACCAAGGCAGTCCAACAAAAACCAAACCTTAAAGAAATTTCTGAGCCTCTACATCCCAGGACCTTCAGTATTCTTAGGCACTGTTACTCTACAAGTTTTATAAAGCAGAGAACAAGAAGCAAAGCCATGTGTCTGCCTTTTTCTGAGTTCTGCATTATGCTTTCTTGTCATAAAAGACAGCTCAGTGTAATGACTGTAGCCATCTTACAACCTGCAGGCCATTTCTGGCCTCCAAGCTGTGAGGAATGTATAAATAATACAGAAAAAAAAGGCAGCCCAGGGCAGGATGCAAGAGCTGCTGCAGCTGCCAGCTATCTTGTCTGTGCCTCATTTTTGGGCAGAAACACCTTAACACTCGTGCTGGAGGTGAGAAGCACTTGAAATAAAGTCATCTCTTATATAAGAGATATATTATATATAAATATATATATAAATATATATATATTATATTATATATTATATTATTATTATATATATTATATTATATTATATTATATATATATTTATATATATATCTCTTATGTAATAATAATGTCATCAATGAAAATTTTCATAAAAGCATTTCACTTCTCTCTCTGATTTCACGGCATTCAAAATCTACTTAGAAAGCACCTGAATTTAAATAAGAGTCAAACTGTGTCAACTTTTAAATAATTTCTTGTTCTTCAAGATACTGGCAACCTGATACCAGAAATTCTGCATCCTTTTATCTCTCTTGAGCAAAGTTGATACAACTAGGAGTCACTTTTCCACTCTAGCAGCTAAAAAAAATCAAAAAGATTTAAAAACAACAAAGGACATGAGAAAAGTTAGAAGAAAAGCTCTGGTTTCTCTGGCTTCAACCACACTGCTCTCTTGAAAGCATACTGAATATCACTGCATCCAAACAGAGAAACATCATAACTTCTTTTTTTCTTAGCCTGTGATGGTTGATATTATACAGGAATAACAGAGCAATAAAATGGCAACCTTGTCCTTTTGGGTTTGGAACTGAATGCCAAAAATAAAACCAAATTTATACAGAATTGAAACCCACTAAATAAAATTGCTGATTAATTAGAACTTTTCAAGGATTTTCTTCCGATCTGAAAGCATATCCAAGTCCAAAATCCAAATTCAGATCAGCATATACCTTTTTTCAGACAGGTCTGTGTGCTCTGGTGTATCTCAGACTCCTCATGATCCAGTTCAGAAGCTGGCACAGGAGAGGTAACATTAGGCCAATTTTTCTTGCAGACCTGTGGGCCTGGCTCTAATTTCCCTGGAAACCAAAGTGCAGAGAGAACAGAAAGAAAGCTCTTGCTGGTTTGTACCAGGTACACACACCTGTGTAGATGAGGCCTCATGAGTTAGTACTTCTTACCGGCAATACATGCGACTGGTTGACCTAGTGCAAAAATTTTGCTGCAAAGCATAATATTTTGATGATATATTTAAGCATAGCAACTAACCAGAATAGGAAATTATAAAAAATATAATCTAAAATTATTTTATCTCAGCCAAGATGCACTTATTTTATAACTACACTGGAAAAGCCTTAGATGTCTCTGTATACTGTGCTGTAGACACATATAAAAAAGATGGGAGAGCTCTCTGCATTGAACTTCAAGCGCATGCCTGTAGTCCAGCTGTAGGAATCTCTTTTTCAGCATTTCCAGCTCATTTTCAGCAGAATTTCCTCAGAGGTTTCTACAAGTCACTGACCAAGGTGTAAAAGAGGAAACGCCTTGTCCCAACCCACCAGTGAGCCATGCGTGTTATCAAAAGCACTCACATGCTCTGACAGCAAAACTGGAAGTTGTGGTGAGAAGGGGAGTGCCAGCTCAGAGTGCACTCTGCAGAACAACTGCAATCCAGTATGGAAGAAATCAATAGCTAGATTAATTGATATGCTTAATATGTATTCGGTATTTTGTGATTTGTAAACCAGTGGAAACACAAGAATACGCCACTTATTAGCAGTGTAGGAGGAAGTAGTTACCTTATCTGAGATGAAACGGGTCTGTGAGAAGGGGAACTGTCCTGTGAGTCTGTAAGAAAAGATGGAGGTGAGCTGCAGGTTAGAAGACAGACACTACATAAAGAGATGGCATTCAAAAGTAAATAAATAAATAATAAAATCTGCAAAGTCATAAACCATCAGCAAGAGAACGAACTGCATTTCTAAGCAGTTAGGAAGAAAAAGAGAAATGAATCCAACCCTTCACTCCTTGAAGCAAGGCAGTTAGAAGTGGTTTATAGTTTCAATACTGAAGACTGGCAATGATAGTAAAAATTAAAAGCAAACTGGGCACTCTGCTCTTTATCATTCTCCCCAGATAAAATCACAGAAGATATCTGTATGTTGTTTACTAGCACTCAGTTTCCTATAAGGTATAAACACAGCTAACTAAAACACCGATGGCCAATCAGCAGAATGGTGAAGGTACACACAATTGCATCTCAAAAAAGAAGCACTCCCTGCTGTTGGCTGCAGCCCATTCATGGTGGTGTCATAGTGGCATGGAATTTCGTTGTGCAGTGGAAAGGGACAGGCTGTGCCTCAGTAGTGGACTTTGCAATCTTCTTGAAGCCATGCTATAATGACATATCAATAGAGAACTTTCTGCAGACCTCAAGGACTCAGATCTTTATTGAATCCATCATGTGAATTGAATGCAGTGAACTCTTCACCTGGTGGGTTCAATAATGAACAGAAAACAACACTTTTGTTTGTCTTAAAGTAATGAGCAAACTCCCAAATCTCTATATATGGATTCAAAAGCTGAAACACTTGCGCATAGGTAAAAAGTTCTCCTGGTCTTGGACTTATGCAGAGCACATACTCAGTGCTGGAGTATACTCATTTATTTATTTCCTGGTAAACAGTAGCACCTGCTGAGTGCACATTATCATAGTGCAAGCAAAAACCTTTACTGCTGTTTTCTACTTAAGCAATAAATGATGTGCTGCCATTCACGTTTTACAACACAGAAGCTTGTTACAGAGAACTGAAGTGTCTTGCCTAAGGTCACACAAGATTTACTTAGTCTGAGGCAGTGATCATTTAGCTCAGTCATACAAAAGAATCTGCATATCAGGTAGCAGCTATTTAACATGAAATATGTCATAAAGCAAAGAACAAAGACTCAGCAACACTGTCATCATCATTCAAAGGGAAGACATCTCAAGGGGGTGGTGACCCTCCCAAGCTGAAGTTCTGTAATAAAGGGGCATTTTAGCAAGACAAGGTCAGAGGCTAATTATAAGAGTTACAGAAAGCACAGAGAAAACCTTACAGAAAATTCATCAAGTTTCAAAAATAAGTGGTTATGTAAGATTTACATCTCAAGTTTCAGATTCTTATCTATCCTGGCTTCACACATAGGAAAAATCGTTTTGACCTCTGACTTCACGTTGCAAATGTGTAGAACTCCTCTTTTTGTACGATTTTGAAGTGAAAACCAGCCTTATGCATTTCAAAATTAAAAAAAAAAAGATAGCTAAAACTGGGAAGTTTAAGAGCAAAAATAAATTTATCAGGAGACAGTATGTGTCAATAAATGTTTGACCTTAGCAAACCTTTACTTGAGACTTCACTCTTAAAGATTCCTTCATGTGTAAATAACCAAATCCACACTGAGAAACTGGAAATGCAACAAGCCATATAATCATGAGAACATGAAGTCATACTGAAAGCTAATAGCCAGAAGCCATCTGCAATCACAGGCTGTAAAGCATCCTTTCCTTAAAGCGTACTGAATAGTTCTTTAGTCTAAGTGTATTGACCTTAACAACACGAGGTGCACCTTGGAGGCAATAAACAACACTCCTGTAAAAAACAAAGCCCAAAAACAAAACAAAACAAAACCTATTCTTCCACAGAGCACTGTTTCACAGTTATGCACAAGGACATCTGGTATGTGGACTGACCAAAAGCTGTTCTGAAGGCTTCGCAATTATTGCAGATTTGAAAGTCAGTAAAATACCTTTGGAAGATTCTTTATAAATGGCACCAATGGAGATTTCTCAATTAAGAAAGCAATTTGTAATCTAACAGCCAGCTTTTCTTAACCTGCTTTTTTATTGGGATATATTCACTTCACATAGGCTTGTTTGAAATGTATTGTTTTCCATGTTACTAACAAAGTATTTTGAGATTCCAGATAATTGGGTCATTCAGGCAGGAGTATGTGCTTTGAACTTCATTATTCCAACTGATGTGTGATCTTGCAATTTGATGGTCAGATGCACAGAAATAACTGGTGTTTATATTCTCCCATGAAATTTTAATGAGTGGCAATAAAAAGCTCAACTAGAAAACTTATTATTGGTTTTAAATTGATTTATATCCTTTTCAAGACCATGTTTTTAGTGCCCTCTCATACTTTATAGTATTTTTCACTACTAGAACTTAATTCTTCTAAAAAGAAAAAAATAGCATGTGTATTCAAAGATTAATTTCATTGCAGAAATGCTTCATTGTCTAAAGCTGGGATAAATTGCAATGAAATACAGCTTATTTTCTAGACCTAATACCTTCTTATAATAAGAAGAAATGGAACCTCCAATTAGTATGTTGGTGATCCACAGGAATAGCTACACTTTTTCAAGCACTAACTAACAAACCAACTTTGCAAGAGGCACTACAGGCTTCTCTGCCAAGACAACAGGTGTCTATTACTCAGGAGGAAGAGAGGTGGCCAAAGAAAGGAAACTGCAGGAACAACACTGCAAATGAAATAATACTTAAAATGACATTTAATTAAATATTGTATATTCAATATATGAATCTTGTGATGCCTATGAAAATCACTTTTGTCAAGATCTATAAGGAGACTGGCAGACAACGCCAGTAAAGCAACACCTGAGAATTTTTCTAGAGTCACATCTAAACATTATTCTGCAGCAGCATAAATTGGTGATGGCTGTAATCTTTTCAAATTACACTCAGAAAATGAGGAAAGCTTTTCAACATGCTTAATGTCATAATACTAATACCAAAATGTGTTGTTTGGTACAGGTAATTACACTCTAGTTTACATTCCTCAAACATCTATTTGAATTCAATGTCAGAATTCTGATTTGAGTCAGGCTGGTCTGAACTCACAGCTCATAAATGCATCCATCACTCTTCTAAACTGGCCTCATCACTAAATAGCAAGAAGGGATTTGGGTGCTTTTTATCTGTTTGTTCATTTACTTTTTCCCAGCTGTTCTCTCCAGGGCAAATATATGTTTTGTTAAATTGGTTCATTTAGAAATGGCTTGGAAAGCAACTGAATTGACAGCAACAGTGCTTCATTAAATTTATTTGAACAACAGACTACTTTGATTTCTTGATTATGAACAAATGGCTACAGACTTTTATAAGTCAATGTCACTGCACTGCCATAGTAGCTCAGAGAAAACTATGGAGCTTTCTGAGTACAACTCAGCTGAAGAACTCAGTCTTTGCTGTATTTGTGAGCTCAGACTATTGGTGATTTTTATCTGAGCTTTTGTTAAGTCAAGAAGAGTTCAAAATCAGCATGATTTTTTGTCACATAGAGCATCTTTGTGCAAATTTGAAGCTAAATGCACATTAGTGGAAATACAAAGAACAGTCACAGGTGGATTATGCTGAGCATAGGAATGCAATGTTGTTTCTTTTTTCCTCAATATACCAGAAGATAATTTTTCAAAGTATTCAGAAAAAAGTTCAAACTATTCATTGGGGCATTTCTAGATTCAGTCAGACAGTTCAGCTTTACTGAGCTGTATAAGGCTGAACAAGTAGTAAGAAGACTCAAGGAGGAGTTATACCAATTATATATTGTATGAATCTGAAGCATTAGAAATGGACACGACAAATGTAGTGTAAAAGCAGGTTCAGGGCTGTCCAAATCACACCCATGGGACCAAAGGACCTGGACAAGCCAGACAGCACTTGTGACACTTGTCTGATTCCTACATAACTCCACGAGGCCCTTGCAGGTCGTTAGCTCCCAAATGTTGAGCAACATTGACAGCAAAGAGGTAGAGATGGTATTTCTACCCATCAGTTTCAACCAAGTATGATCTTATTCCATACAAATGCACCTTACACAGCGTTTTTTTAATACCACAGGCAAGTATGAAGTAGAAAGTCACCCATTTAGGATTTCTCTAAGCTTCTTTTAATCGACATAAAAATAAACTAACTTCAGAAAGCCTTAGAAGGAAGACTTTGTGCAAGTGACTTGCCTAGCATCATCAGAAGAAAGACCTTCAACAAAAAAAAAAGAGGGCTAATGTCCAAAATGTCTACCAGCTTCTTCAAAGAAATGCCTTGTTTCATTATCACCTCACTTTCCAAAAATAACATGAAGAATTTTTCTCTCTAGCCAGGGTATAAGAGCAAGTTATCATTCATGAGAGTGCCACCTGGCAGCTCACTGAGCACACCAGTGTGCATACTGACTGGAGCAAGCTCTTTTCTTTTTTTTTTGGTTAAGTTCAAGTGAGTGAGAAAAAGGCCTTAGGAATCCTTCTGACAGTGCTCTATTTTCACACATCCAATACAATGAAAATGTTGTATACATTAATATTTACAACCTGATTATAATGTTTGCATAAGAGACACTAATATGATAAAGGAATTTAGAGTATTATCTTTTTGCCACTAATGTGGGATGTAATCTGTTTTCAGTCACTGCTTTAGCCTAAAGTATTTAAAATAGAAATTAGAAAATAATTCTTTATTTTCTGTAAGAATTTGAAAGAGTAGGAAAAGTGACATGGCTTCTCATCTACTTAGGGGAGCAGGAATGACAAGTAAATAAGGGTGCTACTTAAAAATGTATCCTTAAATAAAAGGATATCAAGAGAAAAGGTGACTAAGAAAAATCAAACTGAGCATAATATATAGAAGAACATAACCAGGATGGAAGGACAAGCTTATTGGAATATGAGGTATATCTTATTAAAATATTGTCTTACCTCATTTTGCCAGCTTTCAATGCATCTTTATTTACTCATCCACAACCAAAATTCACTTTCTGTTTCCATCTATTTACTCCTTGTACTCCCTTTTTTTCAGTCTATCTGAAATGGAACGCAAAAGTAAAATTAGTAGTTGAACGACTATTAAATTATTCCTAAGCAAATAACTTCTTACTCAAATTCAAATTTCTAACTAGATTATTTCTTCTCCCCCACTGACTGTAAGTTAGGAAAAAATTGGCTGCTTTAGCTGCACTTATAGCCCTCTTCTTAAGAAAGATCTATTTAATGCATATATTTGTTAAAAGCAGATGATGGTGGCTTAGTCTCTGAAATGCCTCTTGCTTCAATCAGGATTTTCAAGAAGAGTGATACTATCACCAGCGAACAAGGATTTCCAGTGTTGACTCAAAAAGCATGGGAAGCATGTAGATACTTGAACTGAGAAAGCTACTGGTATACGGCAAGATTAATGGAATCATAACATTCACAATTTATGTTATCTGAACAAAGAGCAACAGAGCCTGTCCTCCTACCAAAAGACTTTCCACAAGAGAGCCTCAAATTCCATCATCCCAACCACTTTTAAATGGGTGACATTTATGTAATTTAACAGGATACCACATGAAGATCTGAGCTGTCCCTATGAATCAGCCCAAATTTCCCTGGGCTTGCTTACATTCTATAGATAAGAGGTCATCCTAAACAAGTTTCCATGGTTACCACCAGCAACACACCTACTGATAGCAAACACCTCCTGTGAAGCTTCCTATTAGCATTCTCCTTTTCAGCATCTTCAGTGCACTGATAAGGAAAATGTTGCAATGACTAGAAAGATTAAAAGAAATAAACTTAAGAAGGAAATTATTTTTATGTTTGGAAAAAAAGAAAAAAAATACTAGGCCAGACATGTACCCTTCCAAGTTTTTATTACCCATGAACACAGCAGTATGTTCTGATCATTCATTTTAGACAGACTCAAAATGCTTGTTTGGCAAAATTATTGCTTTACATAACAGTTTGTTCTTTTTGTTTTGATTAATGACTTTTCTAGTTTCTAAGTAGCAACAGTTTCTGCAGCTGCATTGGAGAAAGAACCTTTTTTGGAACTGCTGTTACCTTTTAGTAAGAAAATGACTGTCCTGCCAGTGTATTTTAAAGAATCCAATTAAATTTGTCCTAAAAAGAAAAGTACCCAATGCTGCTTTTTAATAGGTAAAATTTTTCAAGCATTCTGCTCTTGTTTTTCTACTTCATTAGTATTACATTCCATGTGACTGTCCAGACAAGATAAATTGTTTTTGTTTGAAATTAATTTACTGTATAAACACATTCTCACTAAATATTTTTGGAAGCACTCATACTTCCACACTGCTCCTTTCTCTAGCTCAGTTTTTACAGCTTTCAGTTTTTCTGAGTTAGTGCAGTAGAAGAACACTGTGCACATGGCCTTTTACTGCTTGATCTTTGTCATTTACAGAATTTGGTCACAGAACAAGGATGCATGAAAATATAGCCTTGTGTCACAAGCACATAAAGCAAATTGTAGTCTTCAGATAAGGAAACTGAATAAACTTTGACTTGTACAAAGCTGAACACTGCTGTGGTTTTTCTGTCTAAACCCAAAGCAGAAAGCTGGCAGATCTCTGAATCCACAAGATGAGCTTCTTTGAAATGCGATGGACGAATACAACACTCAACCCACCAGTACTTCTTCAGCTGTCTCACACAGCTTACCAAGTAAGAGGCAGAAGAACATCAAGTACAAGCTTCCAATCCCACCTGCACTTCAAATAAACTGGATTAGGGCAGAAGAACATTAGGCAAAATTCTGGAGTTTCCATACTTTTTGAAAGGATACATTTATCTTCAAACCTTTAGCTTTCACGTGGAAAACAAGAGGAACTAGGAAAACAAAACTTTTAACTGCCAGATTATCATCATGCTTTGAATGAAAAATCTGGAAACCAAGACTCCAAAACTTTTTTGGAAATCTATAGCAGGAAAGAAGCTGCTTTTATTTCTGATTGCCAAAATGCAGAGCTGCAAAAGCCTTGTAAAAAATGCATGGTACAAAAAATGCTGAAGTAGCAGCGGATGTTGAGAGAGCATGTGCCAGAGATTTGTATTGAATTTTATGAAGTAGACACATGGATTGAGTTACATTATGTGAAAAGGTCTTGGCACACAGAAACAATTGTAAACAGCCAAGGAATACAGTGCAGAAGAGCCAGGAGGACAAAGTCTTTCAAATGAAGGTAGAAAGTGAAAGGAAACAAGATCTGAGAGCTGTGGCACGTTGTATCCTGTAATAAAGGACAGGGAAAGTAAAATTCTCAAAGCATTCATGAAGAAATCCAGAGCTTAGTGCCATATTCCAAAAATAAATCAGAAGAATCTGTGTACAGGAAGGTTAGTAGCCAGAATGTTACCATAAACTCATTTGGTTTTGTTTTTAAATCCTATTATTGTGGGTTTTAGTTGCTGGTTTTCTTGTTTGTTGGCTTTGACTTCTTCTTAAAGAAGAAACTTTTCACTTAATTGGGCCAAAGACAACCTCATTAGAGTAGAGACATTTAAGAAACGGATAGAACAATCTACAGAAAACACCACGGGCTCTTCTAGTGAAGCATGGGTAGAAAGGATACAGCCTTCCCATCAGAGAGCCAGCCCACACTTCAACAGCTTCATCTCTCCATTTTGTATCAGCCCTGTGATTGGTGGAGATCCTGCTTTCACTTGCAAGCTCTTGTTTGTTGAACCTTCAGTTTGACTTTCACACTTTGTGCCAACATTTTCTTTTTTTCCAGCTTCTGGCTGCTGTTGCACAAGTGAGGATGTCCCAATGCTCAGCTCTTTCCCAAGCTTTTTGGCTCTGGATGGAGGTGGGAGGTATCCTGCATAACTTTTCTCTTGCATAGATCTTAGTGTCAGAGTGATTAGTTGCAGTACTACTTGATTACTGCTCAGAATGGAGCATGTCAGAACAACCCTTTATTTGTTTGAAGATTTAAATTGGTTTATGAGTTTCTATACTCACTGTCATTCAAGTTCTTTAAAATTCTTGCTTTCATTCTACATAATCTTACAATGATACAGGATGGGTAACACATATAACCAATTACTTTTTACCATAATCCTGGTTTGATCAGAATGATAAAATTTTTGCTGGTATTTTTCTTATTTCAATAAACACTGAACTAAAGTGTCCTCACAGCCTGATCTTCAGTGTACTTCCTCATAAATGGAACAGAGAAATGTAAAGGTAATACTGTCTGATCACAAGCTTACGTTGAATCCAATAACTACGTCATAATCCAAAGCCCATACACCAAAGTCTGAACAAGCCTAAGTGTGCTTTTTTGTACTAGCTGCTAAGTTACTTCTATGGATTCTCCAGTCAGATCACTTGAGCCAATGACAGAGGAACTGCAGACTTTGTTTTCCTGGAATTACAGTCCAAAAACACATTTGAAAAATGGTAAAAATGGCACTATAACAAAACTCAAAAAAATTGGAAGTTCCACACTCGGTCTGATTACTTCAGCCTAACTAGAGATCAAAAACAACCCTAAGTTCAATATAAAGTCTTAATGTTTATCTGTCTGTCACTTCTTTGTGCAGCTGCGGACTCAGGACTTCTAAAAAAAGAAAGAGACATGGAGAAAGACAATCACGCAAACAGGACAAATAGCAGCCAGTGTAAGTCTGAGGAGCTGTGACGCATCCCAGGAAAACTACAGAGCAAGCTTGGGTGATGACAATGACCAACCCTATCTTTGACCTTTAGTCAGTCTTTATAATTATTGTGATTTTCTTTCATTTTATTGTGGTTTTTCAAAATGTATCTACACTGTACAAATGTTGTTTTCCTCCGTTAAAAGAATCCAAACAAACAAGCAAAAAACCAAGCTAAAAGTACAACCCCAAAGCTTGAAACTACATATTATTCCTAGCCATGTTCAGAAGGCAGAAAACAAATGAAGCTGACCGTGTTGCTATGCTGTTTCAACTATGCCTGTCAATCCAACAAATGCCTGTTACTGTCTACACACCTACCCAGACAGACATGTATGACCTGCAGCTGGTCATGCTCCCATAAAGCTGATGAAAGCGCTGTGCTTGCTGGGTCTGGACACCTGGGCTGCCTTCCCTGTGAAGGGTTCCCTCTAAAGTGAAAGACAAACAGAAGATCTAAGGCTGTAAAATCTGTCTCTCTGATGGCAGTTGCAGCACATCCACAGACTACACCTATTCAACAGCTCAATCGACAAAAACAATGATTAAATATCAACTACTTACCAAAGCAGTGTATTTAAAATTACTTGAGGGCTGTTTACAGCACAACACAAGAGCAGTGACAAAAAAACCCTACTCACTCTGAGCCAGGAGTGAGTAACAGCTTTTTTCTCCTGATAACATTACATGTATCTTAGGACAACAATAGGACAGATCCTGCTACGTGATTCAAAGGCTTTCTGGTGACTGTGGGAGAGAGGATGGATTTGATACTGCAGTGAAAGGAGGGAAAAGATCATGAGTTATACCCAGATGGATAGAGATACTTACTCTGATGCTTGAAACTGAGCTCTGTTTAGATTGCAGGTCTGATTTCACAGCATCAACATTCTTGAGTCATTCTTGAATGAAAACTTCCAGGAATTCAACCTGGGTGATTAACTCTCAAAATTTCAATGTTATTAAAGTTTAGAAAAGAAAATAAATACAATCCAAAAAAAAAAAAAAAAAAACAAAAAACCCTAACTGGCTGCAACTGAGAACTAAGAATTTGAATGCGCCTCTGCTTTGAGCCCCTGAGACAGTAGTGATAATCTGTGTTTGCATTTGGAGGCACTGCAAATCCAGTCAGCCCAGGGAACTGCTGTACTGAGCTATGCAGATCAGATGAGGCCTAACCATTTTCCAAGTAGATTTACTAGGAGACTAATGTGTTTTTAGCCCTTCCATCACCCTCTGTGACACTTCCCCATGAACTGTATATAGGATTTCTGGATGAACGTCAAGTTGTATGGTGGATCTGGAATTCTACAAAAAATCTGGTTCTCCTACATCTCGACAGATATACTCCACAGAAATTAACTGACCACACATGCACAAGGTATCCTGATGTTGCTGGACGCTGCCCATGAATTTCGATTTCATGCTGGTAGCTGGTCTGTACACCTCCTGAGATGCTACATTCTCTTCAAATACGCCTTCTCATTTACACACTCAGTGCAATTAAATGCAAAACAGGGGTGTATTTCCATCTAAGCAGGTTTGCAGTATCAGGTCTGAAGTTCCTGTAGCTCACATTAAGAAAAGCACAGACATACACAAAAGCAGTCAAAGTGCCACTTGCTCTAAAACAACAATTAATTTATAAGGGGCAAACACAATAAGTGCAATTTTGCAGGCCATCTGCCCCAAAATACATATTCCAATATTTCACCACTCTCTGCTCTACTATATCATCACCGTGGCAACACTGGCACCCTAGGAAGTTGCATTAAAATTGCTCAGAAGAACTGATATTTTCCAGCGTTGTAGGCAGTTTAGAGTCTTAACTACAAATTCTTTGCAGCTCTGCAAGCTGAGATGAAAGGTGCAAAAAGCTTTAATCTCGACACAGAAGTCCTAAAGGAAATGTCTCTCAGAAGCAAAGCACTGCTGGCAGAGGCACTTCTCAGCTGGGCTGTAGGACTGCAGCTCGAGGGCTCTGGTGCTCACAGATGGCTGCATGCCACTGCCATCTTCTGAAAGCCCTTGATCCCCTTGGGCCACACCTCTGCCCTGAATGCTTTGAAAGCATTCCTAACACTTAGGAAGGCAGAAAGAGCTCATTTATTAGTTCTCTCTTCCCAAAAGAAGAAAAGCTCTTTTTTTTTCTTTTCTTTTTCCCAAACTGCTGCTACTGCTTAAAAGATGATACGACAGAAGGAAGACAGCCAGCCATGGATGTAGGTATCTACCTGCCTATGCCCTTCAATCTACTACATGTAATTTAAAAATACCAGGTTTGGTCTCATCTCTGCAATAGAAAAAAAAAAAATGCCTGTTGTTGAGTTTATCAGTAGACCTCATGCTGCCTATTTAAGAACCTGTTTTCATAACCACCACTGAAGCAGCAGAACTCTCCAGAAGTATGCACAAATTTTAAGTTAAATATATTCCACCTCTTCAGGAATAGTTTTACCTGACTATATATGAGGCTAGTGCAGTCCTCTTCTTTATAACTCCACTCTATTCTTGGAAAACTTTCAGAAACTTAGCTCTCTCATACTTTCCCTTGTGATTTAACTTTCATGCTGCCTGCTATTTTATTAGGTTTGCTGTAAACTTATTTTTACAAGAGATTCAGAAAGAAGCCTTTACTCAAAGCTCTCATTAAAATTTTCAATAGGGCAACCAAAGTTGACCCCAATTACCTGTTACCATGGTTTGTACAGTATGAAGAAGCTATACGTAGGAATTAATCTTTCTCTCAGACAGCAATTGCAGCACATCCAGAGACTACACTTAGTCAATAGCCCAACCCACAAAAACAACCATTAAATATCAAACTACTTAGCAAAGCAGTGCATTTAAACTACTTGAGGACTGTTTACATCACAACAAACAAAAGCAGTGACAAAATAATTCATCACTTTCATATCTTTGTTTATTTTACCTTTTCTTGGGGTTTACCTCTGTCCTACGGAATGGGTTATTGTATGGTGTGTACTTCACATAAGCACTTACACTGGCAGCTAGTTATGAGCAGACATGTTGGAGCTGACTGCTAATGCTAATGAGGGCTGTCAGCGTTGCTCCCTTTCCAACCCCTGGTTGCCCAGGGAGCAGCATTCTGTACTTAACTGCCTCTCCTGCAGGCACATTGATTGAGGATGGCTCCAGAGATTCAGACATTTGAGAGACACTCTCCAGGCCTGATTGCAACATAGAGATGTTAAACTACAAAATAATCCTCTACTTAATTTAAGCCTGCAAAACTGACTCAAGTCAAAGTGAGTTTGTCTTAAGAAGTTCTATGTGCACTGGGCGCCTGTGGAATATAGCTCCATTTTCTGTCTTACCAGTTCAATTCAACTGTGCTATTCTGGTATAAAACATGGCAGAAAGAGGCAATGACACACCACACCACTTAAGCACTTTTTGTTTGCAGTTTCTGCCCTGTACCATTAGAGTTTATGTTACACTTCTCCCTGGTCAGACTTACAGATATGCAGTTTGTCAGTTTGCCCCATCTTCATTTTAATGAATTTTGACACCACCTGTGACATTCATGTAAATTGACAGTGCATTTTTACATACAGTTGTAAAATCCAGCATGCTCTAGATGGTATAGAATCACAGAATCATAGAATCGCTCAGGTGGGAAAAGACCTTAAATATCATCGAGTCCAACCATGAACTAACCACACTACCCTAACTCTAACAACCATCCACTAAATCATGTCCCTGAGCAGGGGCTCTGATTTGGATACCATGGCTGCACCTTCTTTTAAGGAAAAAAAACAATCAATTCTAGGCAATTGTTACATTGCTTTGTAGCCTAATAAATCACAGTTTGCTAATGCAATGTTACTCTAATGCTCTGAGACAAGTGCTGGTGCATTAGTTATGAAGATAAGAGTTTGTGGGCAAGCACTCATTAACTTTAACTAATCCTTTAACAAACTCACACACAGTTGAGAAGGGTTTAAGTTACGGCAGCCCTGAGGTTTATTGCACTGATACAGTGATCTTCCAGGGAAGATTTGTTGTTTCCTTTTTTTGTTTTGTTTTCATTGAATGAAACAACGTGCTGCCTCCCTTGCTTTTAAAAGTCTCTGAGCATGTTTCTGAACTGAGCTACAGTTTATGAGAGACCCTTCTTTTATAAGGAGTAAAAGCCAGATTTGCCTGAGAGTGATCTAAAATGCAGTCTCGCTACGCAGTACCAGCAGTAAAACGATGTGATTCTGCAGAGATACACAACTGTATTTTTTCTGAATAGGAGAGAGACTTCAAAGCACCAATGAAAGCCCCAAAAAGCTACATTAAGTAGGTCTTTGTGCTGGGAAAACTATCAGTCCCTGAGGGAAATCAGAGGTGAATTTTGCTTTCTGCAGAAGCCAGGAAATACAATAGGTTACAGGGAGTGAAGGTACTGCTGAAAGCTGGTATGAGTCACTCACCTCAAAAGTACAGGATTTCCCCTTCATTTCACAGCTTCCCCATAGCTTTGGAGAGCCGTTCTCATTGTTTGTCTAGGGAACACTTTTTTTCTTCAGGTTCAGTGATCCTTTCTACCTTCCCATATGAGGTAGAAGAAGCTGCTAAATTTTTGTGTTCTTCATTGTATGTCTTGTACTCTTCAGAAGTCAGTGGGTCAGGGGAAAGAGAGAGGAAGCAGCACAGTTTTTGGAGAGCTGCTAAGCAAATTCAGGTGAAAAGCTTAAATACACTTTAGGGACAGTGTGGGTTGAGCTAGAAGCTGGGACCTGCAAGATTTGCTGCAGCTCAGAAAGTTGTGGAGACTAAAACACTAATCAGAGAAGAAAAAGACATCTTGCAAAGACTGTCATAGCCAAATGTCACTGGTTTACACATCCTTTTAATTTCCATTTTCTCATAATTTTCCCTTTTTAAAGAATTTGAGGCTTTAGTCTAAGCAGATCTGTTTTTGAGTTCTGCTTGAATCTGTCTCCCAGGGCTATAAAGGTCTGGCCAAGTACATAGGATTACAAAGCAATTCCGAAGAACACTGTCCCTGGCAATGAAAGAATAGGAAAGCTGACTGTGGCTCATAACATCAATAAGTTCAAAAAGTGCAAAAGTGAGAGGCCTGATGGAATACCATTTGGGCACAATACAGCTGAATACATTTCCAACTCTCCAGCAATTCACTTAATGTATCTTACAGTCTATGCCTTCACCTATACAATGGAGATGGTGGTGTATTCCTGTCTTCTTGACCTTGTTGCTACTAACACAAGTAAGACTGCAGCTCCCCAAAGGAGGTTGTGGTGAGGTGGGGATTGGTCTCTTCTCCCAGGTAATAGTGACAGAATGAGAGGTGATTGCCTCAAGTGGTGCTGGGGGAGGTTCAGGCTGTATACTGGAAACAACAGCTCAGAAAGAGTGGTGAGGCACTGGCACAGGGAGGTGGTGAAGTCACTCTCCCTGGCGGTGTTCAAGAAACGTGGAGCTGTGACACTGAGGGACATGGCTAGTGGGCAGTATTGGTGGTAGGTAAATGGTTGGACTAGATGATCTTAGAGATCTTTTTCAACCTTAATGATTCTATGGTTCTACAATTCAATTCAAAGCTATGGAGTTACCAGAAGTCATCTCCAAGGTGAAGTGAATTTCCCAGCTTAATTTGCCCCTGCAGCAGGAGAAGAGCAGTTTCCAGCAAGAACACAAGAGCATTTAAGGAGATAATGCATCTTCCTGTCCTTCCTTATTTAGTCATGGATGTACACTTAGCACTTTTGATTGCCATAAAAGTCTTGCTCTTCTTTCAGAAATAGGACAGCAATACTAGTTGGAACTGTGGGGCAGGAATAATGCTGGCAGGCTCAGAGGGAACAAACGCAAGCACTGCAACATGCATACCATGCACAAAATGAGGCACCTTCAGAGAGCTGGCTGACAAAACAATAGCCAATCTATATAATAATACTTTTGTTAAACAAACTACAGGATATATGGAGAAACATACCAAGTAAAACACGTAACAGCACAAATAAACAAGACTTCAACATTAATAAAGTACATAAAGAAGGATACTTCCAAGATTAGCAAAATATTTCTATGTTCAGTCCAATATTTACTGAGGATTCATTTGAGTGCTTAGGTTAGAAAACTAATCCTGACATGTCATTTGGATAAATACCATTTTCTTCATACTATATGTGACTTGAAAGTTTTATGTTTCCCTTAACAATCCTTCCTAAATCAGATAGATTGGAATTTAAAAGAAGTTAAAACATAGCTGATTCTTAGAGCAATTCTCATGGAAATGGACCCTTTACCATCTCACACAGTAATTCTTTTATAACACCAGAAAGTAGATCATGGTACAAATGGGTTGACATGCTTCACTCTAAGGAATCATTACTACAAATGTTCATTGGTAGGTAATGAGTCCACAGTCTGAAAAGCACGGGAAACCATTCCATCTTCCCCAAATCCCTGGTATAGCAATCCGCACAATTTTTATTAAAAATACCAATACTTAAAAAAATAAAAAAATTAAATTAAAGTATTAAGAGCTCCCCTTTATTTTAAGGGATGGGTGAATGAATACAACATTTGGCTGACAAACAGAAAAGGAAAAAAATGTCTATGGGAATAAACTAATTTATAATCTGCTTGATTTATAAAGAACAGAAGTAGAACATAATGTGGAAGTTGCAAAAGGACTGAAGAAAAACTAAATACCAACTTTACAGTTTGTAGAACAAAAAAGGAAAAGGAGAAAAAATGTTCTTGGTGAAGACCGCCCTGGACTAGCAAAGAGCTCCACTTACTGGCAGATGAGTTACTGCTTCCTACTTAATTAAGGAGCCAAAAGTAAGCAACGATAAGTCAATTACCTGGTCAATCAAGCCAGAACAAGAGAATTACATTGCTTAAAAATATGTAGTGATAACTTACCTCCTTTCAGATATACTTCCTGGTTTGAAATGAAACTTCTACCACGAAGAAGTATACAACAAAAAAATCTGAAGTGGCACTTTAGCTAAGTGGTAAAGCAGAGTGAAGAATGATGCAAAGCCCACTGAAACCTCTTCCCTACCATCAATAGTTTCTGGCTCAGTGCAGATACCAAGCTAGATTATGCATAATCTATGGTTTTTTGCATGTTGTAGTGCACGATGAATGCAAGATTTTTTTCCCAGATAATGTAATGCTGCATAAAAACATGCTGCTTTTTCGTAAAATGTTTTGTAAATTGCCTTTATGAGTATTCTCCCACATCTTTATCTTTCATCATAACATTATACTTGTCACCTCTGCCGCAAAGTTGAACATGGATGGTGATTTTATCCAACACTTCTTCAGAAGTACCTCATCAGTGCTCACTCATCTGGATGAAATTACATTTCATGGCATTCTATGGGATATTTTGCATGCAATGAATGATTAAAAACAATTTTGCTTTGTGCCAGAAGTATAAAAGTATAGCATTCTGGGCATTAATTTCATTAAAAATTAAAATTGATTTTCTAATACCTAATATGATCTGGTGGAATAATAGTGATAACACTGATAGAAAGGAGAAAGGAATGATAAACTTTTATGAGAAACAGCACAAGTATCAAAGTCGAATTAAAAAATATCTTAGAGGACATTAATTATAAACTACCTATCTACCATCAACTCAAATTACACGAAGTGCAAACATTACTAGCAGCAAAGTTTGCTCAATTAATTTTGCCAAGACCATTATAAAAACACTGATTTTTCTGATTAGCTGTCTCAATTGGCTTGATGCTTTTGTAGCAAAGCTTTTCAATCAATCCAGGACAGATTATGGAACATTGCCAGCACTTCATCCCCTGTATTTACAGCCTGCTGTTTCACAGGAACTGCTGATAAATGGGGGTTATCTCTGTTGCTTAAGTTAATGCACACAGCTCCATAAGCAGACTGTCCTGAATGAGCCACTGCAGTAACAGCGCTCTCAGGCCCAGAAAGCATCTGATGTGGAAACTTCTTCACAGACAGTGTTCAGTGGTGTGGGTTTCACCATCAATGAGGTGCTCTCCTTTAATCGTGCTCTGACTGCTTTTATCCCAGAAGAGTTTAGAAAGTTCAGTTCATCCCCCTGCTGTGCTGGACTGTTCCTCTCTGCTCAGACTACTCGCACCTCAGCTAACTGTGTGCAGGTTCTCCTCACCATGACAGTCCGTCGTGTCTTTTACAGTCATTTGACTTTTCAAACACTCAGGAATAATGTCAGTATACCTGAGATCAGAATCAAGCCCACAAAGGCCACATGGGAAAGCAATACTATCCCTTTGTCTGTCCGGTTTAATTAGTTCCTTGACAATGCTACTGCAAATGGAAACCTCTCCTTCTGGTGCACTGATTAGTGCTTAGCATAAAACACTCATTTTTATAAAAAACAACCTTTGAGGAGACGTGCGTAGGGGAATTAAGACTCTGAATTAATGTACCATGAAACTGCTGTATTACCCAGCAAAAGGTACGAGCTGGTTTAAGGAAGCACAAGTACAATAATTACACAGCTTTCACCACCCAACAGAAACCTGCTGGCAAGATAATATGCAGTAATAGGAGATAGAAAAGCTTCCTTTATCTGCGGACAGAGAATTGAGAGACATGTTTAATTCTTTTTCCCTACCAAATATTACACAAATGGCCTCTAGAGGGATCCAGGTTATTGCTTTTGTGCTGAAATCTCTAACACATTTCTTTTTTTTTTTTTTTCTATCTTTTTTTAACAAGTGAATAATTCATCTAGAAATAAGGATGCAAACATTTTTATGTTAAAGGATGGTAGAAATATAGTGTTCATGACCCAGAAGAAACCTTTTGAAAATCCAGATATTGCAAAAACTGGAAGATGAGGTTCATATCCAGAAGTCCACTATCAAGCACTGAGCTCACATCAGATAGAACAAAACAAAGAAAACCACAGCCATGCCTAGACATTTAGCTGTCTGTCTGAAACACAGCTGAACTGGTCAGTGTGCACAATTAGGTTAGGAATGTGGTAAGAATTAGGCTCATGTTTCTGGGGAATAAGGCTATATTTCCTGGTTCAGCTCCTAGAACACCCATGACAGAGTACCCTGCTTCTAAATTATTGTCTATGGCTCATGCTTTATT